GTCGTGTAGTAAACGCGCCCAAAGAAGGAATCAAACAGGGCAGGGCTGTTTGGTAAACGCCCAGGGCCGTTTCTTAAACGCCAATTGCCCAGTCCAGGTGTTTTTTCCTCCCTTGACTGTCGCCGTGACCCATCGATCCATGCTCTGGGGCCCCTCTTCACTCCGTGGGGCTCTCTCGGCGCTGGACAAACCTCCCTTTAGTAGACCTCCCCTGAGTGAAAACGGCCTGGGACCGAAACCGGCGGGCCTGGACCCGCAAAAACGACGGCCGCGACGCCCTCCCGCGAGCCGAAAACGGCCAACTCCTCCATCGACGTGTCAGGGTAGGAGGTCTGTCACCACCCCCGACTCTCTTGGCGCCCTCTCTTGGTTGGTGCGCTCCCGGGCTGCTCCCGGGGGGTCTGCGGAGTGCTCTCGCAGAGCCGCGCTCCCCTGAGCATGCCGGGGCGCCCTGGCGGCCCCGACGTCTGCGCGAGGAGTGGGCGCTCCGGGGTCGAGGCCTCCCGCCAGCCCCCCCCCCGGCCCAAGGGCTGGCCCCCCCGCCCCACCCCCCCCGTCTGGCCTCGAAAGCTCACGCGCACACGCACGAGGAGGAGGAGGAGGAGGAGGAGGAGGAGGAGGAGGAGGAGGAGGAGGAGGAGGAGGAGGAAGAGGAAGAGGAGGAGGAGGAGGAGAAAGAGCAAAAGGAGGAGCAAAAGGAGGAGGAGGAGGAGGAGCAAAAGGAGGAGGAAAAGGAGGAGAAGGAGGAGGAGGAGGAGGAGAGGAGGAGGAGGAGGAGGAGGTTTTGACCCCCCCCTCGGCAGGGCGGATGCGCAGCGGCTCGGCCGATCTTCCGCCGCGCGCCGCCGAGCACTCGGAGGGCGCAGGTGGTCCGCGGGGGCCGAGCGCCCACATGGCGTGCGGCGGGTTCACGGCGCGACGACGTTGCCTCCGGGGGCCCAGGTAGGCCCCGCTTCGGCAGCCCCCGCTGCCCCCCCCCATTTGTTGCCCCCCCCATTTGTCGCCCCCCCCCACCCCCCATTTGTCGCCCCACCCCCCTTTGTCGCCGCCCCCCCCCCCCGTTTCGGCAGCCCTCGCTGCCCCCCCATTTGTCGCCCATCCCCCCCCCATTACAGTCGACCCGTCTCGCAAGGATGCGCGGTGAGGGTGCGAGGGCCTCGGGGAGTCGCGAGGACGTTCTCCGAAGGAGGCTGGCCAGCAAAAGAGCGGCCAGGGATGGACCGAGGAGGCAAGGCTGCAAGGTTGCCCTTGGCAAGGTTTCCCATCCTTGCTACGCGGGTTGACTGTGCACGACGCCCGAGATTCGGGGATGGACAGACCTCCCTTTAGTAAAACGTGGTTTAGTGAAAACGACCTGAGGCCCAAACCTGGCGAGCGCAAGCCTGGAAAATAACGGCCGCGGCGCCCTCTCAAGAATTCTGTCCACCCCCGAGAGATGACTCTGCCAGCCGCTGCGTCCAGGGACCTCTGGAGCCTCCAAAAAGCCCCCAGACGGCCCAAGAAGGCCCCCAGCAGAGCCCCCCCAATATTCAAGGGGCCCAAGGACACACAAATAGATACACACAAATCAAAGGATTCCCCATACTTTCCTGTATTTTCTGGGTTTTTGTCTTCCCGCCCAATTCCCATATTTTTCCTACATTTTCTGGGGGATCGACGATGAATTGCGTCTGTGTGTGTTTCACCTCCTGAAATATGAACTGTGGAAGCGCCTACAGTCGGACCTGGGCCAGGGGCCGATGAGAACCCACTCCGGCGGCCAAGACAAACAGAACATCCAAGGGCACCCTTCCCAGGGTGCACAGGAACGTCCCAACAGGCACGAAGAGCAGCAGGGCAACGTCCCCGAACCGCAGGTGTAGGGTTTCCATTTGGCAGGATCAGTCAACATCGAATCGGGAAATCTGATCGTATCGAAATGTGCGTCTGATCGGGCTGCATCGGCACGGAGTCCAAATCGAATCGGATCGGCTGTGCAATTCGCCAGATGCACAGCAGCGCCATGTAAGCATCGTTCTGCATCGGATCGTCGGAATACCAGAATCGAATCGAATCGGGCCGGCATGAATCGACATCGAAGCGATCCGATCGAAATTGGTGTTCGCAGGACTACAACAACAACAACAACAACAACAACAACTACAACTACAACTACAACAACAACAGCAACAGCAACAGCAACAACAACAACAACAATCATTTTACCCGAACGCTCAGTGTTCTCACCAGTGCCAGGGTTTTCATACGACGCCCGCCAATACCCCCACTTTGTGGGGGGGCCGGTTCAAGCTCTACCATATTTCCGAACGACTCTTCGCCACCACCCACACCCAGCTTCCCGCCCTATGACGTTCGGACACTTCACTTCGTGGCATGCGGACGACCGTGGCTACTACACTGGCGCATGGTTTCAATGACTTATTTGACATGTGTCCCGCATGGTATTATTTGACAGGGATGATGGCCCTGGCAGGTGCGCAACCGTTGTTGCAGAAGTTCGAAAAAGTTGCTCGCAAAAGCCCGTTTGACAGAAATGTTTAAAAAGTGTTGGGTTTCCTGCAAATCCGCAAGAGCGCGCGGTATGAAATTTTGACACTTTTTAGAAAAAAAAAAAACCATTGGTTTTTTGATGTTTTTATGTTGAAATCGTTACGAACACTAAGGTTTTGGAAGGATTTCGTCTTGCGCGCGCGAATGTCCACTTTACCTTATTTTTTGCAAGGGATTCTTGAAGTTTGGTTATATTAGAACAAGAAATGTCATTTTATAGTGTTTTTTGCAAGGGAAAACGGATTACAACAAAACAACCGGATCTGGATCACATCGTTTTACCTGAGGCTTCCTCACGAAAATGATGAAAATGTAGCTGCGGCCTAGGCGGCGCAGGGGGGGCGCGCACCAGGGGGCCCAACAATAATTATTCTTTAGAATAATAATGTTCTAACAACAACAACAGCAGCAGCAGCAGCAGCAGCAGCAACAACAACAACATCAACAACAACAACAACAGCAGCAGCAGCAACAACAACAACAACAACAACAACAACAACAACAACAACAATCACTTTACCCGGGGACGCTCCGTTTCTCACCAGTGCCAGGGTTTTCATACGACGCCCGCCAATACCCCCACTTTGTGGGGGGGCCGGTTCAAGCTCTACCACATTTCCAAACGACTCTTCGCCACCACCCACACCCAGCTTCCCGCCCTATGACGTTCGGACACTTCACTTCGTGGCCTGCGGACGACCGTGGCTACTACACTGGCGCATGGGTACAGTGACTTGTTGTGGTAACATTTTCTGGACGCTAGCTTAGTATACGACTTTTCCCCCTGTTCCAACACTGGACACCTATACTGGTTTTTGGAAAAACCATTGTTTTTTTTAGGATTCGGACAGCGCGCGGGTAGAAATTTTGAAAAGTCGTGCAGGTGTTTTTCGAGGACCTACGGTGCGATTCGTGTGATTTTATGATGCGCGGTGCTAAAATTCTTAAAAACCCAATGGTTTTTGGAGATTTCGGCGTGCGCGCGCGAAGAAAAAACGAATGTGTCCCGCATGGTATTATTTGACAGGGATGATGGCCCTGGCAGGTGCGCAACCGTTGTCGCAGAAGTTCGAAAAAGTTGCTCGCAAAAGCCCGTTTGACAGAAATGTTTAAAAAGTGTTGGTTTTCCTACGAATCCGCAAGAGCGCGCGGGATGAGATTTTGACATTTTTTTGTTGAAAAACCATTGGTTTTTTGATGTTTTTATGTTAAAATCGCTCCGAACACTAAGCTTTTGGAAGGATTTCGTCTTGCGCGCGCGAATGTCCACTTTACCTTATTTTTTGCAAGGGATTCTTGAAATTTGATTATATTAGAACAAGAAATGTCATTTTATAGTGTTTTTTGCAAGGGAAAACGGATTACAACAAAACAACCGGATCTTGATGACATCGTATTACCTGAGGCTTCCTCACGAAAATGATGAAAATGTAGCTGCGGCCTAGGCGGCGCAGGGGGGGCGCGCACCAGGGGGCCCAACAATAATTATTCTTTAGAATTAATAATGTTCAACAACAGTAGCAGCAGCAGCAGCAGCAGCAGCAGCAGCAGCAACAACAACAACAAAAACGGTGTAAACATAACTCCTCGTAGGTCCGCACGGAGCTTTTGGATCGGCGTTGGACCCCCTCCGTAGAGCGCAGAGCGCGCCGAGGGCGGCGCCGGAGGCGCCGCCAGGGGAGCCCCAGCGCCGATCCAAAAAATCCGCGCGGACCTCCCAGAAATAATTGCTCCGCCATTTCTGTTCTCCGAATGACGCACTGGCACATACGTGCGCACCGAATGTTTTGACGAACGAACAGCACACACCCGTACCCAGAAGGAAGTCCGAGGGAGAAGAACTGGCCGTGTGCGAGGCGGAGGTTTATCCATACCCACCGCCTGTGAACCGACGTCCTGGTGGCCCATCTGGCGGTGGATATGGGTACACTTGGGCCCCCAGGGGCCCGAATATGTCTGTCTCCACCGCCTGCCGGGGCCCCCGAGAGATGACCTTCCGGGCGGTGGTCATGTGCGAATTCCCGCCCAGGATTGTGAACATGGGTGCGGGTTGTCGGACCCCGGCGAGGCTCCCGTTCGAGCGGGGGGGCCCAGCCGGCGGCACGCACCCACGGCCCCCTCCGCCCCCCCCCCCCCCATGCGCACTGGTGTGCGCGGATCCGTCGTCGCATCGCCATCCTTCGGACGTCCGCTGTGATCTTTCTCGGCCTCGTGCGTCGTCTTTCGTCGTCGCAGGAGGTGTTCCGAGATGCTCCTCGGCAGCCCTCGCCGAGGAGAGGCGCAGGCGCCCGAGGGACGCCGAGCCGCTTTCCAGGGCGCCCGAGGTCCAAGGCCGCGCTGGGCCGCGCCGGGCCGCGCCGCGGTCGCGCCGCGCTGGACCGCGCCGCGCAGGCGGGCCGCGCGCACGGCGTGGGCGCTGCGCGCGCCGCCCGCGGCGGCACAGGGCGCGCTCAGGACTTCATGCCGGAAAGGATGGCCTTGGCGGGGGGGCCAGGGGGAGAGCCCGAGGGCCTCAGACAGAGGGCCGAGGGCTTCGAGGAGGAGGATGGAGGGCCGAGGACCTGGGGGGAGAAAGAGGAGGAGAAACAGGAGGAGGAGGAGGAGGAACAGCAGGAGGAGGAGGAGAAGGAGGAGGAACCGATGGCGATGCCAATCCCGACCGATTCTACCCCCGACCTCGCTGGGCCAAGTCGGCCTTGCTGGGACCTTCGGGGGTAGCCCATCACTAATTCTCTTGAGATATTGACGTCCCGTGGGGGTGAGGATGCCCGAACAGGGCTTGGCTAGGGCTCTCAGCTGCTTGTCAGCTGTGGCCCCACACCTCCCACATAACCAACAGTTCAATACGACATGCACGTTGAGGTGGTGCGAAGTGTGCAGCCAGCCCCCCCCGACATGTATACGCCCTCCAACTGGAAGGGATGAGATGAGTGAGATGAAATCATTCACAGTCACTAAAAAAAGGCACGCGGTGGTATGCCATTCTTTCATGGTGGCAACGGTCGCAGAGCCACGGCACCTCGTGCACCTCTTTTTGCAGTCGGTCAACACATGCCTCGACGTCAGGGCCGCGACTGACGCGGCAGCAGGAGGGAACGGAGGGGGAGGAGTCAGCACACCACGTCGCCTTTTTTGTCCGTCGCACTGTTTTCCAGCTCCTTCTCCTTAGCCAGGCAGTCGACTGCCGCCCGCAAGAGTCTGAGGCGCACCAAACGTGCGCGTCGCTCATGCAGCAGGAGACGATGCCTCTCAGCCTGGGGAGTCCTGGCCTGCGTTGCTGCCAGGCCGGCCAGCTCGTCAACAACTGCACTGCCGATGATGAGCTGCTTGATGCCCTCTCCTCTGGCCATCTGGGCAGCCGAGAGAGGAGAGTGTGCGAGGAGGACAGTGACATGCTCGATGGGACGGGTAGCCATGATCTGTCCGATTGCTGCCCACATGTCCGCGTCAGAGCCTCTGGGGTGGAAGAACCTCTGCTCATACCTCCCCGTGACAGCATCCTCAAAACCGGTAACAAACGTGAGGTGGTGGGTGGTGGCCCACAGCGCCAGGCGCAGGCACTTGAGCTTACCTCTCGCCACCACCTGCCTCCGCCCACACAGGGGTCCGAAGATAAACCCTCTGGGGCGGCTGGTGGCTAGCAAGCTCTCGAAACATGCGATTGCCGAGCCCACTCGGCGTAGCCTACCGCATCGACTGCCTGGGCCCCCGCGGGCGTCGCCACAACTCAGCACCCCGGGTGGGCGGCGGTGCCCGGCCCAGACATGCCAGGCGCCAGCTCTTGCCCCCCCCCCCCCGGTGAACTGCCAGGCCTCGGTGGTCGGAGGCGGGCTCGCCTCCGTCCAGGGTGCAGGGGGGAGCCCTCGCAGCCAGAACGCCTCGGCGGCGTTGCACCAGGTGGCAGCATGCGTGCACAGATCGGCCGAGTCGTCGTATGGTTTGGCGCCAGTGTTGCGCACGCACTGCCAAGATCTGTGGAGCGGGGTCTCCGCGTCTGTGCCGCACCTGTCGCACTTGTCCGAGCCCTGGTAGTTCTTGGGCTGGGGGGGATCTGGGGGGCTCCGGGGATCCTTGTCAAGCCTCTTCGGGTCTCTTGGAGATCTCTTGAATGCCTCTCGGAGCCCCTTGGGATATCCCGTGGGCGGTTGGTTTGAAGCCTCTTGGGACGTCTCGGGGGTCTCTGGGCGGTCCTGAAGACTCTTGGGCGTCTTGGGTGCCTCGGGGAGGCCGTTAGGGGTCCTCTTGAAGGTCTTTTGGGGGCCTCTTGGGGCAATTTGGGGGCTATCTTGGGGCAATCCTGGGGCCTCTTGGGGCCTCCTGGGTGCCTCTTGGGCCCGTCTGGGCTCCTTTGGGGGCCTTGTCGGGGCGTTCTTGGAAGCTTTGGGGGCTCTCTTGGGACCATCTTGGATGATATCGGCCATGGGGCCAAAACCCGAATAAAACCAATGATGTGTGTTTCCTTGCCGAGGCCGTTTTGGACGTTCCGACACCTCGCGGAACCCCCTGTCCAGGTCGGGAGGGGGTAGGGGGAGGGGTCAAGACCCCCCCCCGCCCGCAAGCCGTCTCGCTCACTCCCACCCGCCCTCCCAACACATACGTAGCACCCGAGTCTGGCCCGAGCCTCAGCATATTCAGCAGTCGTCTTTGGATGGGTCGCTACTGGGGGCCAGTCCGCCGCCGCCACCGCCGCCTCCGCTGCCACCGCCGCCGCCGCCGCCGCCGCCGCCGCTGCCGCGGCCGCCGTCGCCGCCGCAGCCGCTGCCGCTACCGCCACCGCCGCCGCCGCACCGCCGCCGCCGCCGCCGCCGCCGCCGCCGCCGCAGCCGCCGCAGCCGCAGCCGCCGCCGCCGCCGCAGCAGCAGCCGCCGCCGCCGCAGCCGCCGCCGCCTCCGCCAAGTGTACTCTGTATTGTTTTTTGACAGGGATGGTGAGGGGGGCGCATCGGGTTGGCTGCGCATGTTCCGAATTTGGAGGCAGAATGTGTGTTTTGTATGCTTTAAACGAGGGATTGTGGGGGGGTGTCGTCATGGACTCGGGTTGGCCCCCAGTCGCCTGGGGGAGGGGGTGTTTACTAATAGGGAACAGTGGTAAACCCCTCCCCGAAGGGGAAGAAGGAGGGGTGGAAGAGGAAACTCTCTAAACCACCGACGCCCAGAGGGCTGGTGGGATTCAACACCCCAAAGAACTCTGCGGAAAGCCTGTGAAAGTCGCCCCAGAGACCTGCAAAGACCCCTTTACATTGCCTTCAGCGAGACCGTGCGCGCGTTTGCGTGTACCGCACCAAGGCACTCGGCTAACTCTAAGATGGTGGCAAGAAGCAGGAGAAAAAGAGGAAAGAAAAGAGGAGGAGGGGGAGGAGGAGGAGGAGGAGGAGGAGGAGGAGGAGGAGGAGGAGGAGGAGGAGGATGCGGAAGAGGAGGAGGAGAGGGAGGCAAACAGGAAGAGGAGGAGGACAGGGAGGAAAGAGGAGGAGGAGGAGTTGCGAAATAACGTCTACGGCCATATTGGCTCAAGGCCGTCCCCAACGCCTCGGGGATCTCGGTCTTGGCCAGAATCAGGGGCGTTCAAGAGGAGGGCGGCCAAGGGGGGGAGGGAGGATGGCATGGTCGGCGGCACGTGCGCGGCCCAGGGGGCGGCGGGGACGTGTTGAAATAAGGGCGGGCGCCACGAAATCTTGGGAGACATCATGGCCCCCGCCATGATATACACCCACCCCCCTTAGCCATCGCCCACTTTTTGGCCGCCCCCGACAGAATTTGCCTCCGCGGCCGTTCCTCTCGAGGAGGAGTAGGAGGAGGAAGGGGAGGAGGGGGAGGAGGGGGAGGAGGAGGAGGAGGAGGAGGAGGAGGAGGAGGAGGAGAGGAGGAGGAAGAGGAGGAGGAGAAGGCGGAGGAGAGGAGGAGGAGGAGGAGGAGGAGGAGGAGGAGGAGGGGAGGAGGAGGAGGAGGAGGAGGGGGGGGAGGACGGGGAGAAGGAGGAGGAGGGTGAAGAGGAGGGGGAGGAGGAGAAGGAGAAGGAGGGGGAGGAGGAGCAGGAGGAGGAGCAGGAGGAGGAGGAGGAGGAGGCCCCCGGGCAGGCGCTCGTGCTGCGACGGCGCCCGGCTCCGTGGCGCGGCCGCGGGCGGCCCTGCCGTCGAGGGGAGGTCGACGGCAAGGGGCTGCGCCTCCGGCGAGATGTACCCGCTGGACACCAAGGGTCGACGGCGAGCGAGGGGGGGAAATGGGAAGGAGAAGGCCCTCTCAGAAGGCTCGTACGTCCCCCGGCCTTCCCTGAAGGCGTCGAAGCCTCACTCGGAGGGCGCGAGGGCTCCTGAGAAGTCCCGCCGCCTTCTGGGAAGGCCTTCTCCTTCTCACTTCCGCCCCAGCTCGCCGCCGACAGAAGTACTCGCTTGACACCAGGGGTATACGTACTCCTCCATGGAGATAATGGAGGTGTTCCCACCTCCTGCCCCAGGATGCGTCTGATTGTACAGGATGCGAGGTGACGGGACCGCATTCTCTCTTCTTCGACATCGCTGTCGTCAAGAAACAGGATAGACAAGTCCCGATCGGTGTGCGCTTTCTGTGCTTGCGCGGACGCACCTGATGATGTGCCGATGCACCGAGTCAAACTCCGGGGGGCCCTCCTCCCCCCTTCCTCGCTCCCTCCACTACTCCCGCCCTTCATCATGAGGCCCTTCATCCAACCCTCCGCCTCCTTTTCCTCCTCCTCCTCCTCCTCCTCACTACGAGAACTACTTCAACAACATCAACAACCACAACAACAACTACTACTACTATTACTACTACTACTACTACTACTACTACTACTACTACTCCTACTACTACTACTACTAGTACTACTACTACTACTACCACTACT